CTTCTTATGTGCTTAATGTAAGCCTTGGGCACTGGGCCCGTTTGAAATAAAATTCCCAGGAATCCAGGATTACAGCAGCAACAACAACAAATGAAATAAAATTCCCAGGAATCCAGGATTACAGCAGCAACAAGAACAACAAAAAATAATAATAATAATAATAAAAAAATGCTGAAAATGTTGAATGTATACAAGCGAGCTTTTGGGTCCCATGGGGTGCGTTATGTTCGAGGGACGCCTGGAATGCATTTCAAAACTGTTTAAGTGACTGCACAAAAGTTGCCCCTTCAGCAATTTCTCCGAAAGGTCGCTATTAACCAACCGGCCTGGCTCAGTTGGTATACCACTGAACTGTTTTTTTTTTTTTTTTTCCACCACTGAAACTGTTGAAATACAGACCTGTGTTCGAACTCCACTGAAACCAGATAAGCAAACTACTGCAATTCTGAGGAAAAAAAAAGAAAAAAAAAAGAGAAAAAAGAGGTTGCTTTTCTACTGTACGTAACACAATGGGATTGGTTTATCGCTCCACTGCTCTGGGAATGTGCAAAATGAGAATGAATCTTATGCTAGAACATGGAAAGATATACCGCCATATGTTTTTGTCTTTGTGGATGTGCGAGACCCAATGCCTCGTAAGTCAACCTGCACAAAAAAAAAAATGGCAGCGGGGAAAAGGTCCAGATTCAGGCGCTGCATCCAATCCTCGTTGTTAGTGGGACGGTGGGACCTCGCCGCTGTGCTCATCGCTCCGTACGGGGCAAAGTTCCACTGAACCGTCATCTGCATGTCTGGCCGTCGATGATCTTTTTTTTTTTTTTTTTCGGCCTGGACGTCGATCATCTTATCCAAGCAGCCCCCCTCCCGTCCCGCCGCAGCGGAATAGGAAGGACCGGAGAAGCGGAGGAAATGAGACGCCTTATGAGAGTATATTAAGCTGAACCTAAACAGACCAAGATGCGAATCGTCACATCTCCCTTTCATCCTCTCTCTCTCTCTCTCTCTCGTCCAAGTTCTTCTCTCTATTCCTCGATACGTCACCTCCGCGTGCGGGAGGTTGTTCCCGTTGTTGTCGCCATCGCAAGGCTCCTCCGTTCCTGCTCGGTGGGTAACAATCTCTTAATCCACCTCCATCAAGTCTGTAATTTGTGTTTGTCTGGACTCGGCTGACAAGGATGGGGAGAGTTGTGCCGTCCTCCCTTCCCGCTATGGGGGAGAGAGCGGCGCTTGCGCTTCTTCTCCGCCTCCGCGTCGCTGCGCTGTGCGCGTACTTGATCGCGGTAGCGTGGCCCGCTCACGGCTACCCAGAGAAGAGGCCGATGATGGGGTCGGACACGAGCCCAGGCAGCTACGCCTGGATGCAGCCCCGTGCTGTGGGAGATGAAGGACCCAACGGCGTCAGTGACGGCAGCGAGTTCTACTGCTTCCGCGACTTCAAGAGGTGTAGGAGCGGCATCAAGGAATGCATCAAGCCGGAGCAGGAATGCGACGGGGTCAAGGACTGCGAAGACGGGTCGGATGAGGGGCAGTTCTGCAAGTCGTTCGACTGCACCAAGACGGGACGGTACATCTGTCCGAGCGGGAAGATGTGCATGAACGTCACGGACTCGTATGGCGACTGGAGATATACCCACAGGGATCCGTACACCGCATACTTGTGCGACGGCGTGAGGGACTGCGCGGACGCGTCCGACGAAGACAAGAAGTTCTGCGCATCGTTCGACTGCAACGGGAATGTGCCGCACAAGAAGGTGGCCATAACGCTCGAGTGGGAGAAGTCGACCAACCGCAGAGTGCGATGTCCAGGCGGAAAGGGTGGGTGTCTGTACGAGACGCAGCTGTGCGACGGAACTGTCAACTGCGTTAATGCCGCGGGCAGTGACGAGAGCGAGGCGCTCTGCAAGAAGCAAGGGTGCTCGTCCGCCTTGCTCTCTGATCTGTTTCAGTGTCGGACGGGCAGGTGCATCCCGCGCGGGCGGATGTGCGACGGCAAGAAGGATTGCCCCGACGGTGACGACGAGGGGGACTTTTGTGCGAAGATTAACTGTCCATACGGCGGCATCAAGTGCAGCGATGCAAAGAACCGAACGTGCATCCAGCAGTCTCAGCTGTGCGACGGAGTGCAGGACTGTCCCGGTGGGACGGATGAGGCTGGCTGTGCGACGAAAGAGTGCGAGGACGGGAAAAAACTTTGCCCAAGTGGGAAAGGGTGTGCCTATCATACTCCGTGCGACGGCCTGAAAGATTGCAGAGACGGATCCGACGAGGATCCCGCGTTCTGTAGCCACTTCAATTGCTCGGCTGACGAGCGCGTTAAGTGCAAGGACGGCCTGCGGTGTATCTATCGGTCAGGTATGTGCGACGGCCGAAGGGACTGCCCTGACCTGTCGGACGAGAACCCAGCGTCGTGCCGCACGTATAACTGCTCCCTGTGGGGGGAGGGTACCATTAAGTGCCCGGGGGCGGAGTATGTCTGGTGCATCTTTCCCGGCTCGATGTGCGATGGTTATCACAACGACTGCTACGCCGACAAGGACGAAGACCCCAAGTTCTGCGCGTCGAAGGAGGCACGGGACATCCTCGCAGAGAACGGAAGAATAGTCTGCAGCAATAACATGACCAATTACATTTACGGTGACTACTGCGACGGGATCAAGAACTGTGAGGATGGGAGCGATGAAAGGGAGAACTTTTGCAAAGTGTACACGTGTCCGAAAAACCGAGTCAGGTGTTACGGCAAGTGGTGCGTGCGCGGAGCGAAATGTGACGGCAACTGGGACTGCCCCGATGGGTCCGACGAACTGAACTGCTAGCCCCGCAAGCCAAGATCGAAGACCACGACCCGCGTCCCTCCTGAACTTGGAGTCTTTTTGGTTTAGTCTGTCTAAACCTCTAAAGCCTATCTAGCTTAGTCTATCTAAACTTCAAATGGCATGAACTCGCGTCC